TTTTCTTAACACATGTGCTGTTTCTGCTTTGGCGAGACAGCCTTCCTCACGGAAAGCGCAGGGACGCTGGACACGGTCAGGAGACGGTTTGAATCAAGAAACTGCCCGACAGCTGTGGGCCTCGGTTGGGCTCCTCTGCATTCACATTCCGTCTTTCCCTGGAGAGCGAGCGAGAGGGCTGAGGGTTCAGCTGGACCTGCGTCCGGCTCCTTAGGCTGACGTTGTCAGCATTTCCCTGCGCCGTTACACCACCTTTGAAAGGGCCTGTTCAGGCTACTCGGGGCTCCCCGGCCGTTTAGCCAGCACCCCAGGGCAGGGCCTTCCTCTGAGGTGGTCACCCTGCTGTCACTCAAACCCTGTGGACGACATGGCCGTGCCCATCCCCGAGCTTCCCCGCCCTGTCCTTTCTATTGGATGGTGGGATGGTCATAGCTGGAAGCCGGCGTCGTCTGTCTGTCTTTTTAACTAATTTTTCCTTGCTGAGTGTTTTTTTTTTTCCTTGCTGAGTGTTTTAACTGCTGGCTAATGTCAGATCTGTGACAGTAGCGAGACCGCTGGGTGGAGAGGGTGGTTTTGTGTATTGGAAGACATATTTGGAGCAACAAGGTGCCCACTTCCGTGAGAGACCAAGTGCGTGAGTGGCCAGCCTTTTGGCCGAGGGAACAGAGGTTCTTAAAGGATCCAGTGCCCTCAGCAGGTGCTGTAAGCATGGGGTTCAGGTGAGCAGGTATAGTCTGCTTTTCCCCAGCAGATGCCTTAAGCATGGGGCTCAGGTGAGCAAGCTTAGTCTGGTCTGTCTTCAGCAGGTGCGTCTTATTGATGAGGCTCAGGTGAGCAGGTGTGGCCCGGTCTGCCTTCCACCCTCTTGGACCTCGGCCTTCTGAGGAACAGATCAACCTCCTCAGCCATGGCCCAGGTTTTCTAGGCCCATTCCCGGGCGCCAGAGGCTCTCTGGGGCATGGCTTGTCTTTTGCCTCGACCTTGCCATTGGCCAGTGTGGACAAGTTTAGACAGTGTAGACAAGCCCGTTTAGCACGGTGCAGTGAGGGGGGTGAAGAGCAGGGTTTTGGGTTTCCTGGAGACAGTGTGGTTGGTCAGAAAGAGAGGCATACTGGGAGTGAGGACCTTTTCCAGGTCCCTGGGCCTCCCGCAGCCTCCACCTGGGCCTCTGGGACTCGCTTCCTGCCGAGCCTCAGCTTTGCATTGGTGGGGCGAGGTGGGACTGGGCCTTCCAGAGCCTTCCCCGCTGTGGGGGGCTGGTAGCGTCCAGCTGGAGGGCTGGCCCCCAGGCCTTCTCAAATCCTGCTTTCTCTCTGTTCTTTACGAACCAGAAAATGACCGGTGGCGAGACCTGGACAGGAAGTGCCCCCTGCAGATTGACCGGCCGAGTAGCAGCCTCTGGGAGTGCCTGCCGGAGACGGGTCAGGATGGCGGCCTGTGGCCCCGGGAGACTGGGACCGCCTGCTCGGTGACCAGCCTCATCAAGGACCTGAGCCTCAGCGACCACAACGGGAACCCCTCGGCGCCCCCCAGCAAGCGCCAGTGCCGCTCCCTGTCCTTCTCGGGTGAGATGGCCAGCCGGATGTCGTGGCGGCCCCTGGGCTCCAAGGTGTGGACGCCGGTGGAGAAGAGGCGCTGCTACAGCGGGGGCAGCGTCCAGCGGTACTCCGGCGGCTGCGGCACCATGCAGAGAAGCTCCAGCTTCAGCCTCCCTGCCCGCGCCAACGCCCTCCCCTCGCCCTGCGAGCAGGCCGGCTTCCACCTCCAGCTCTCTGGGCAGCCCTTCCTGGGCCCGCCAGGCCAGGCCACCTGCGGACAGGCGGGCGACCTGTGGAGTCAGGACCCGCTCCCCGCCGGAGGGGTCCGGCCCGACTTGCCTCGATCCCTCTCCTGCTCCCACGAGCAGTTCTCCTTCTCGGGATACTGCGTCCCCTCGGCCAGCAGCACCCCGGCATCAACGCCCGAGCTGGCCCGACGCCCCAGTGGCCTTTCCCGCAGCCGCTCGCAGCCCTGCGTGCTCAGCGACAAGAAGGCCGGCGTCAAGCGGCGGCGGCCTGAAGACACGCAGGAGCAGAGGCCTTCCCTGGACCTGGCCAAGATGGCACAGGTAAGGCCCCTGTCGGTAGGGACTGCCAGTGAGTGGAAGGGGCCTGTCCGGGTCAGCTGCAAAAACACCTTGAGCAGCTAAAGGCCCTACGTTTAAATCCCATCAGCACCCCCCAACCCACCACCGTCGAGTTAATTCTGCCTCCGAGTGGCCCTAGGGCCCAGGGCCGGGCTGCCCCCGGGAATTCCTGAGATTAATTCTTTACCACAGGAAAGGGCATTTCACCTGTTCAGTGTCTGTTCCTGCCGAGCAGGTCTGTGGTGACAGGCGGAGGTGGCAGGCAGACCCTGTGACCAGGCACCGTTGTCCCTGCGCTGGAGCCTCTCTCCAGGAGTCCAACCCTGCAGCCACTGCGAGGGGTGCGCCCTCGGGCCGCTGGGCTCGGCATCCCTCCCCGAGGTGGTCCAGGGCCGTGCCCACTTCTGGGATGGGAGGGTCGAAGGCACAGGTCTCTGAGAGCTGGTGGTTGGTCGCTCACCTGTGTGCCGCTCGGGCACGTCCCGGCTGTTCCCTGCA